ACCCCAGAAAGACGCATTGTTGTGTTCGAGCCAGTGGGGGGAGACCGTCAGCACGATGACTCTGATTATATGCAAGGTCTATCGATTTACAATTTGATGAAGATACTGCTTTCTTTATGCAATGCTCGATGAGTTGGTATACATGAGAGTGCCTGAGGGATTCAAATGCGACGAAGGCAAAGTACTGAAACTTTACCGTTCCCTTTTTGGCCTCAAGCAAGCGGCTCACGTGTGGAACAAGACCATCAAGACGTCCTACTAAAAATTGGGTTCAAACCTTTAGCGATTGTTTCATGCATCTATGTTTGAAATCAACCTGAGTCTGTGATTTACATCTGCTTATACGTTGATAATATGCTAATAGCGGCCGAACTCATTCGTACCAAAGATTTGGGTCGAGCGAAGTTGATTCGAGGAATGAAAAGAAATCATGCAATGAACAAGAAGACGCTAACTATATCACAGAGCTACTACATCGAGGAAGTAGCTAAGCGTTTCAATCAATCAAAAGCACGGGCAACCCAACACCCATGTGATAGTGGAATGAAGTTAAGTCGAGATGACTCTTCAAAGACAACGGATGAGAAAGAAGCAATGGAGAAACGGCTGTCTACTATATCTCATTTCAGTCGTTTCCTGGATTGCGCTGGCCAGGCACATTGGTAGGTTGCAATTCGTATCCTGCGATATTTGTATACAACTCGATCTGTCATATTGACTTTAAGTGGGGGTGTTCCGAAGCAATCTCTGGTTGCGTTTACTGATGCAGACTGGGGAAGCAATGTAGATGATCGACTATCAATATCTGGTGTTTTGGTGAGGCCTAATGGTAAACCGGTTGCCGTTGAAGCAAAATATCAGGAGACGGTTGAATTGAGCTCAGTCGATGCAGAGTACATAACTGTAAGTCTATGCACACAGGAAGTCATTTGTGCTCGAACGTTAATAAAAAAAACTTAGTTTTAAACAGTCAAGCTTAACAGTGATATATGAGGATAATCAGGGAACCATTGCCCTGGCGCACAATGTCGGTTACAACGCACGTTCAAAGCATATTGATATCCACCACTATTTTGTCCGTGAGCGCATCTCCAATGGTGAAATTGAGATTAAATACATCCCAACAAACTGTCAACTTGCTGACATGATGACGAAGGCATTGGCGAAAACTCGTTTCACTGAACTACGTGCCTCCAGTGGTATCAAATTCTTATCTGATACTACGTCAAGCGTGAGTGGGAGTGTTACATAACACGCTAGACACTAGGATGACAACCGCATGGTGGTGGTTGTTGCAGTTGCAGTTGATGTTGACGGTGATGATGCAACATCAACTACAAGCATATGCATGTTACTTTTAGACTGAATGCAATTGGATTGACGAACCAGGATCTAACAGTGTGATATATTCACTTTCAATTTTCTGCTTGAGCCCACACCTACACTAAAGCGTCAAAGACTTAGTAGGCTTGAGGCGTCCTGCCAGGAAAGGTGGACTCTGTTGTACATTGGAGAGGCTGAATTCACTGGTAAACAGCTCTAAAAGGGAAATCCATTCTCAGGGTTGGGGACCCACAGCCCAGGTTCGTTGGTCGGTAGCATCAACGGATCGTGTTTGTAAAGCCATGGAAAGTCCTGGTCGTTACAAACTATCTGTAACGAGCAACTGCGAAATGAGAAGTAGACAGAACGCAAAGACATTGCGGATAGCGAGTGCCATCATCATATCCGCTTGTCTTGCGAACGGTACATAGGCGTTCAACCATATTCGCATACGAGCAGGTTATATGCACTTCCATTTAGAACGACGTTGTGTGGTAGCGAGTTCATCAGGGGTGAAGACAGTGCTTGGTAAAGTAAAGGGATATTTACACTCGAAACGCTCTTTAGATTTGAGGTTCCTTTGGATTCTTTAGCGATGTGGGGTCGTACGACTTCGCATACCCTCTACCTTTACAATGACTGGGTGAGGCAGCGGGTCGTGCCGCGCAACGAGCTCTACAACTAGGTGAATACCGGCCCTGCCTCAGGCTCGAGACTTTGACCGGTGCTTCCCCGAGGAGGATTGCTTGGTATTGAGGCCAGCGGCTCACATGTACCACACATCTCTCCTTCATAGATCTCTATCATCATCATAAGCTACGAGGGATCGGTGCTTACGAATCTTAACAACTACACAATACCTTCGTTGTAGACTCCCTGTTTACTATGCGCGGTCCGGTAACTGATTCTGGGCCCAGTATGGTACCCGTTTACTCGGGATGTACCGGAGTACGTATAGCAGTATCGTGTTCAAACACAATCTATTTTCATTAGATCTAGCTTTACATATATTTTTCTTAAAATAGAAGAGCAAACTAGGTACTTCCAACGTAAAAAGCTTGCAGCTTCCCCACCGATATGATGCGAAAGTTAATGAAATGCAATTTTCCCACCGATATGATACGTACGAATTAGTTTTCTTTGCGTTAGTGAACGCCAATTTATAGCGTCAAATGTTTTTTGTGCGGGATGCATAGCAAATCTTGTCGAAATATCTGAATTCCCGTTCTCAGAGCAGGACATAGGCAATAAATACTCGAAAAAGAGCTTTGATTGTGTGCAATACGGCCAAAACAACTACATTATCGAATGTTTGAACGGCGCTGATGCCTTAAACAACCCTCAAGGGCAATCTCGCAAAGCCACATCTTGAATGAAAATATAACTCGAATACGGTCTCGAACCGAACGATGTTTCATCCTGTCGGTGTTCTTAAACTTAAAGGGGATGAAAAAACTTTTGACACTCCAAATAATGTCTCGGTCGCAATACACATGGATATAGTATCTGCTCTTGATATTTTCAATGCCTCTGCGTATTTGTATTTATGACCTCTCTCAACAGTCGCGCATCGCACGCAATGGAACGGCTCATTTGAATCTATTTGTGTTTTCAATGGATTCGCACAGCTCAATCCGTTGATGTTAACAGCCCAGTCTTAAAGGATTGGATAACATTGGTCTGTCGTTTTGAATTTGATCCTATTGATTTTAACCTCTGTAAGGTAGCATGAAGCTCAGAACGGTCTATTGGTCAATCTTGTGGAAAGCTAGAGAGAAAGAGGCGCGTAGGGAGTATGTATTTAGTGATTTTTCAGACGCAACATCTGGCTATCACGGCGCTTCTGAGTAGTCAAAAGATTACTCCTTTTTATTCCAGCCTGGCTAAGATTTATCGCCTTTGGTGCACCCGTAGAGCTGCTGTCTCTCGCAGTCTTATAGACCCTCGTGACTTGAATTTTATGTTTATGCAATAACTCACCGCGCTATGACGTTTGGATGCGAGCCGCACTTGTACGTGGAACTTATATTCGAAAAACAGCATTGTCGGTTGCGAGAATAGCTCAGTCGCTATAACGGCTATTAGAATTAGTAGCGTCAGAACATAGCTAACTAAATCTCTTTCTTTTGGCGGGTGAACAAAGATCTGACTGTACACGATAAGCCTGATTAAGTGGCGCAGGGATTTTGTTCGCGGATGTACCTAGCGTTTGAGCTAATTCCCGCGCGACCCCCTAGAGCTCAATATTTCGTAACTAGAGAATAAAAATTCTCTTTTGCCCGTCAAATGCTCGACACTCTACAAAGCCGCCTCGCTTTGTCAAACTATGTGCCTCTTGCGCTCTTATGGAAGTGAGGCTGTGACGTTCCATAGGTGTCACATCAGCACACTTTATCATTCGAAGAATGCTTCCAAACAATATTACTTTCTTCCACTTGTAATGACTTGGACAGAAGCTTCTTAGGAGTGTCTTGCTCTTCTTAAACATTTATAAACGTGTTCCATTCTCACAGAATATGCAGACGTATTCAGAGTTTATCGTCGAGTTAATGACAAGTGCTAACAATCGTGCCGTGGCGCCGCGCATTTTATTTAAAGGAAATTGACTTTAGCTTTTGCGTTGGATAACATGCAGACGATGGACTTACTCCCCTGACTGCCCCTATGATGCCGCACAACTCACCGATACATATTTGCTTAAACTCTTGATGAATTTGAGCTAGCTAAACCTAAAGCTAAACATTGTTTTACTATTTATAAAAACTCTGTTTAGCATATTGCGTGGGGCAACCAGCCGATGGATTCCCTCTGACAAAGTTTTATCGCACTTCTCCGCACCGAATAGACTTACTACATCAAAGTACGTCCGAGCTTCGCTCAAAAGTCCGCGAAAAAAGAGTGCGATGTTGACGTATACAACATTATGGGACGCTTCCTATTACAAATACCCGATATATACTTTTATATCTGTACCAAAAAAGAATCATTAATGCCTTGGGTGAGGCTAGCATCGCCTTGAGAGTAAAATTACCTGCGTACCAGAAGTGTGCGATAGAATGTTATCATAGGTATACAGAGTTTCATACCGACAGTCTCTGTATGCATTACTGAACGTATCAACTGTCGAAGTGTCCAGTTTGAATAAGGTCAGCACCACTACCACCATGCTTTTCGTCTCAATGTTTGACCTAGCGGAGTGTTTGGTCATAAATCAATTCTCTCTACAATAGGGGAGAGTATCGCGGTAATCTTTTAGTCAATGAAAATGTGTGGTGGCAAAAGAAGACAAAACAAGCAATAAGTTGTGGTGAAATCAATTAACTTTGATACGCATTCCTCTCTTCTTTGCTGGAGACTAGCAACTATCAACTGCTTCACCATCCGTTCGACGTCTTACAACAATAATAATACTATAGAGGTTTCACGCTGGATATCAGAGAAAAGCTTTGAAAGGTTCCGATATTCAATACCGGGGTTCAAGACTTCGGATGTGATACTAGACGCGGTTATTCTTCATACCTGCATTACTGCCCAGGTAAAGGTGCTAAGTACCGGTACCAGATCCAGTACTTTGTACCGTTGGAGCCAGTTTGGTGCAAGAGCCGGTATGTGATCCTACTAATTACCAATTCCCGCAATGATAGTTGCGGCAGTGAGCCGTACAAATTGGTTCTACAGATACTTACAAATCCGTAGAGCTGACATCCGTGGTACGACGTATTCCCGCTACAACTTGCTGATCAAAAACGTTCCTAGGATTGTGAGGTGAAGAATGTGTAAAATCTTATACTTAAGGAAGGTGCTTCGAAAGTTTGAGCTTTATGTTGTTGACTTTTGGGGACATATTTGTAATAATAAAATCATTGGAGGTACGCTCGTCTCATACGATGCTACTTCTTTTCTCGTTCCTTTGAATTAAGAATCGAAGCTTATTTACCGACCCTAATATCGTACAAAACCTTAGATATGCCTCCTTCCTATCTATGATTGTCACATCACAACGCTTGGTACCGGTTTTATCAGTTTTACAAACATTGTGTCTTTCATCAAGCATCAACCCCCCATGGTTGCGAATCAATTGTCAACCAAGGAGCAACATCGACGCGAGCGCAATCGCAGTAAAGTTCGCCGTAGTTACTACCGCAAAATTGTACGTAATAGTTGATATCACAAACGGTAATTAAAAGCTAAATTCCATGTAGTTTAATTTGGCCAGATTACGGGCACAAGTAGAGACACTTGAATACAAGTTTGAACAGCTGCTGCAGGCGCAGGAACGAAAGGCAGCATCTCACGTTGTACAAGAGCTGAATGGTATGCTTACCGAAGCTGAGACGTTGAGTATTAAGCTTGGGTCACTCGGGGGTCAAAAGTACCTTAAAGAGCTGACAGCCATCGAGCCACTTCCATTAGTGACAGCTAACAATTTTTCTGCTGGTCGCGTCAAGCGGCTTCTGCAACTGGCACGCATACGTAAAGCGTTGTATGAAGAGAATGAATCGTTACGAGATCGAGGTAGGATTTTTGCCAAGGCTTACAGCAATCTTCAGCACCTGATGGACGTCTACGCTGTGGAAAACCATGAGAACGACATCTTGTTCAAACGCACTCAGCTAATGGTCTTAAGAAAGCTCAAACTTGAAGAGTGTCTAGAGATTAACCGTGTTGCATACGGCCGCATTACTGCATTTATCGAGAAGCAGCGCTGGAAACCACCTAAAGGTGCGACGCTGGGCTGGACAGACCGCCGAAGACTCGAAAATGGTGTCTTGACCTTCTATTTTTCGAAATTTTTCGCTAATCGATCGTCTACTCAATTGGCCGAGCTTACATGGCAACTCACTGCAGATGTCAATTATGCTCGCCGCTTCTTTTCTGTATATTTAAATGTGGACGTACATATCGTGCAACACATTGACGATAGCAACGTTGTGTGTATGCGCACAGTAAACCAGTCGGATCATGACGTGGTTATTAAGAGTCTTTACTTACTCACTCGTTTTAAAACGGAAAAAGGTATTATTTTACTCAAGCATGGACTGGATCCCTCGCGACTTGAAGACGATTTCACCAAACTCGCGAGGGTGGGTAAATCTGAAGTGTGGCAAGACGAGTTTTGCTGGTAAAGTGACTACATCGTTTGGCTGCATTGAAAAAATGATAGCACAATCTGACTAATTTTATTTTGCTTTGCTTATTTAAGGATACTTCTGGAAGATGAAAAACACGGCTGTCGTATGTCGTTAGGTGGCATGGCGCTAGTAGAACACCCATGGGAACAATTTTGGCTTTGTGAAGTGTTGTTGTTGACGTTGCGCTGGGAGAGTGTCGTTGTTGCACCACTTTTCTCGCTGCGGTGCAACTAACCGATTATACGATGACTCGTAAATTTGGAAGCACGGAAAATATCCACAAAAAGGAAGTATAGTGATGTGGATGTGGCGATCTCTGCGCGTACGTCCTTGCGTCAACTGTCATCCGGAATTTCGTTGGAAAGCAACATGAACAGTCATTGTAACATGGAAATAAAATGCAGCTACAATATCTTCTAGCTTTACATTCGAATCAACGAGTAAGTTAAACCTTTCGTAGTGACGTAATGCAGTTGCTCTTATTTGCTGTAGCTTTCGTTTTGCAGGTGATAATTTATGCAGGCGGATCCAAGAATCGACTAATTCTTGATCGAAGATATCGATTTTTTTTAATACCCGGGTTCAGTAAAATTTGCAATCTCTGATTTCAAAGCTCACTTTTGTGTATAAACATAGTGGACATATACTAAAAAGCTGAGGATAATAACAATGAAGACGATCCGGACCTTTAAACGGTAATGTTCGAATACAAACTGCTTACCCGAGCACAAGCTGGGAGAGAGATGATGGAATCTGGTCTGAGAAAACATCTGCTGACAAGGCCAGTTTTAAAATTCTCTTGGATAGATATCTGTTTGCGAATCTAAACAATCGTGACTGAAGATGTTTCTGCCTCTCATTGCACAACAGTATATTTGTAGGAAAGGACATCATCGCTAGTCAAAGGGTGAAAAAGATGCTGTGAATCGTGATAACGACGTCTCCATTGTGTGGGATGCTTGTCACACTTGCGTATCGAATTGTGAGATGCGTACACCATACACTATTGTCCCCTCGACTTAGTTATCGATACTAATATGAAGCCCCATTACAAGTACTAATATGAATGAGCTCGAAAGGAGAGTCTGTGGGACGCTTGAGCTGCTAGCCTCATACATATGGTTTCTGTAAATAAGTATTCGTTAATCTCTAATCATATGTCAGCAATGAAATATGAAAACAACAGAAAACCTAACATCCTTGAATTGGTCACTCGACAGCTATGACATTCTTTTAGGGCTCGTGGTTCCGCTTGTTGGGTGGAGCGTACAATACACGTCATCTGTGCGCTTGTTTATGCAGGTATGTAGAGTCAATACTTCCTATGTACGAGGTGTACGGCGACTCGTTATATTTAGTAGCACCTGTCGTAAAATTGACGAGCGAGTCTTGATTAGAACATGTCCTCTTTGAGAGCGAAAATTTAGATATCTGAATATATGTCCTCAATGAATTAACACGCTTAGTTAGCTCCTGCCTCTAGCTGGTCCCCATGAAAGACATTGATTGCTCGTAAAGCGCTCACGAGATACCCCCGGGAACGCTCCCATTAGATGTCAGCGGAAATGCAACCAATTCCCACTATGATATCGCTTCTGTTAAATCTCGAAACTGTCGGAAGGAGGTATGAGGGTAATTTTTTCTTTCGACAAGAGTGGATAAAATAAACATGAGCTTGGCAAAGAGCGGAGTATGAGCGCGTCGCTCTAGACGTTCCAAAGCTGGGAGGCTGCGCAAGATAATGGGCACTTACGTGCAATGTCTCTAGACATTACACTTCCGCCACGGTGAGTGTTGAAGTGACGAAGGTCGCGGGTGTTCGCATCGTCCGAACAGGCGTACTGTGTGCAATCAATATTTCATATCCAACTGTCAAAAGAGGCAATGATTAGCTGACTTTGCTCAAGAGCCAGCAAACTCCATCGCCACAATGGCATATAATCCTCTCCTGGCATGGAGGGTCTTTTACACGTTTTTGATACGGGTGCATATTGCATCGAGACCTTCCGCACTCCCCCATCACTTGCGAGGAAGCGCTTGGCATTGCATCCAATGCAGAGTACAATTTTCTCGCCGCGAGGGTCAGATGGATTGCTAGGAATGGAAGTTATATAGGCACAACAAATGCGATGATCCATCAGCCATGAGTAGGAGGAAGTGCAGCTCTGTCGTATCCGTCGAGATTCTTTTGTGGTAGGTACAAAGGATCGAGCTACAGCACAGGAGCTGACGATAAATCCCTCGAGCAGAAATTTCGAATCTCAATCGACGCAGGGCGGCTTACTCGGAGAAAATTAGGCTGAAATGTACCTCGTATAGGCCAAAGTTGAGAGGACCCAGCTCTCAGAACTCGACTCTAGTTGTTAAGGTGGGGCTAGCAGTCCAGGGTTGGTGGTCGTTGCTAACAAGGTCTGGGGTTCGTGAAACCGTGAAAATTCTGGTAGATTGAGAGTTATTCATTTGCACACGACGTACGATTGTCGAAAAGAGTCGACCGTGCGCGGGAGTATTGGGGTAAAAAATACGGATACGGTATCTGTGTGTCTTCCGACGGGGGATGCTGGTAAAAGTTCGATGGTTATTTTCAAACCTAGAAACTTCAACTGGGAACTTTGAACCAGTGGAAGTTTGTCTAGTCCTGTTAGCCCAAAATACGATTACATTCTAGCCATGGCGTAGATGGAATGCAACAAGTCATAGGTCGACTAGAAATCAGATGTGTTGGTGTCACTTGCTTTTGCCTGGAGGAGCTTTTGCAATTGATAAATCTATTTTCGTCAGAAAGCAATGCGCTTTTGGCGCAGGCACAGAGCGATTGCATCCGCCCAGGAAATATGAATGTTTAAATTTAATAGCAAAGGTTGCAGCGGGGCTGTCGTAACTTTCTCCCTGAGAGGAAACTAAGATAAGGTCGGCGACCTTCGTTCTATACTTGGATCCAGCACGAGTGTAGCGGGTCACAATTTGCTTACTCCAAGAGTAAACCCTAACCGAAGGCAAATACACTCTTCCGCCTAAAATGTAAACTATATTCGTTTTGTCTTATGTGCGGCAAAGCCGCCTATATCTAAATCTATACGTTTTATAATTGAATAGTAGAACGTGATTCAATGCATAACTGCTGGCAGTCCAGCCACGTACTGACTTCTTGTTAAGGTGTAGACACACCATTGCGCGATTAAACTGTCTTGTGTAATCCACACCCTTGTATAGTCACACCATCTTGTGTGACCCACCCATTCATGCCAGCGTGTAAACCCGTTGCACCCTCCCATCAAAATTTTAAACACCCAAAATTCGCATTAAAGTGTCGCCTCGTACGAAGCTCGCGCTTCTAAGACACCTCTACATCCCCAGGACTTCCTTCACGCATTTTCTACTCAATGATCATTGTGTCTAGGACACGAAAGACACCCAGCCTCGTTGGTGCCGAGAGCGCCCGCGGGAAGAATCCTTCTTCATCTCTCGCACGTGGTGCAGCTTCGTACAGCACATCCGCGAGATCAAGCGGCAGCATGGCTCCCCAGCACCTTGGCTTCTCAGCGCAGACGCTGCCAAGGACGTCTTCAACAACACGATTTGCGCGCCTTGAAGATCGTTGGCCAGAACTTCTCGGCGAAGCGTGGGCTGTGTCAGAGACAATTTACTTGAAGAGTCAATGTTGTCAAAATACGCGATCCACAAACAGCGTCGCTGTACCGACACCGTCGAAGGTGTCCGACACCGCCTCTCGATGAGTCATCTTGCTCAAACGGTCGATGAAGCCGCCACACCCGTGTTCCCCGCCGAGTCCTTCGGCAGGCCAAACATACTAATGGACTGCTAACACCAGGAGGGTACCAACAAACTGTCCAGAGGCGCTGTCACATTCGGTGAGGAATTCACGCTTTGTCACGTCTCACACGTGCGCACTTAGTGTTAGAGGGCGCTGTTCACAAACAGTCCCTCAAACACAGCACACACGCCTGTGCGACGAGGAAGCGATTACCGACGTAGACGAGGAAGGACGACTTAATACATTTGAATGTGAATTTGCTACTGAATTAAACTGAATAATGGATCTGGTTATATGCAAAACACCCCAAGGGCTCCTAGAGGTTTTACTATTCAGACGGTGCGTTTATGATTTACATTAAGGGTGGACTGGGGTTGAACCTCAAATTCAACTGATACAAGATCTTGAGTGTACGGAGCTTGAACTTCAAAAGCTTCAATTTCTACTTTCGTGGAGCGTATCCAGTAAAAAGACTGACTTACGCCACTCACTTCCAAAGACAGAGACCCGTCAGTCTCGTTACCAGTACAGATTTCCAAGTAGGGTTCAGCATTCTGTATCGCACAGAATATTTGTGACTTCATATAAAAAATCACGTATGCATCTGTAATCTTCTTTCATTAATCCCCACAATGCATACAGAAGGTACATAAATGTCCCTTCATGTAATGGCTAAGTGCAGCCCATTACATTGAAAGTACTGTTAGACTTTTGCAGACTTTTTGGAGCAGCTCACATTCCGATCAACAACGAAGCGATCAAGTTGACAAGCCAACACGAAAGGTCTTTTTTCGCCCAAACGACAAATAACGTTTTCAAAATTCTTTGACGTTTTCTCCATTCTCAGCCGAAATGAAGACAAGAGGTTCTACATGAAATATTTCTTTCGTTGGCGTCGGATCAAGAATCGTGATGAATCGATCCAGCCCGTCACAGCAAAGCTTGTCTCTTGGCGGACTATTGTTCGCCAAGAGAACGAGAAGAAATTGAAGCGTCTGGTCGACGCTGACAGGATCCCCAGTCACGACCGAGCTCAACCAAGCTCTGGTTCTCGTAGTGTTGCCTCTAGCAAGACTAGAAGCGATGCTCGTAGCTGCGGATCACGTCGGAGACATCATACTCTAAGGCCTGACGAGGTTCCCGCGTATCCGAGTCCGATGGACAGCCGCGCCACTGAATACTGTAAAAGCGTTGATGGCTCAATTGTTTATTTCCACGATGACGAGTCGATCGATTCCCGTAATCGATAATCGTCCCAACCACCCAACGACGCTCTCCACAAGAGTCTGATAGCGGAGGAGGGGTTTAACGTGAAAACGATCGAGCGACTCTGGAAGTGGAACAGCGCTCATCGCTGGCAAATTGCGGCATGGCAGCAGCGTTGCTTGACGCTTAAAAATCACTACGAGAGCCTCTTAAACCTTGTTGCAGAGCAGAACTCGAAAGTCGACGTTCTGAC